GTGGGAAGAATCCAAAGGGAACTAAGAAAGAATAAAGGGAAGAGTAAGAGTTAAGGAGAGAGGATTAAAAAATAGGAGTGAAATAGCCTTGGTTCCTTCCCAAAGTAGATTCTGAAACCCAAGATTCAACCTTTCTGTTATTCTCTTGGAATGTTGTCCTCTTACAATGAGAGGTACTGTGTTCAAAGTAGTCATGTGATCTTGGGCAAGTTGTCTTTTTTTTTGTTTGTTTTTTTATAGAGACAGAGTTTCACTTTTATCGCCCTCGGTAGAGTGCCATGGCATCACACAGCTCACAGCAACTTCCAACTCCTGGGCTTAGGCGATTCCCTTGCCTCAGGCTCCCAAGTAGCTGGGACTACAGGCGCCCGCCACAATGCCTGTCTATTTTTTTTGTTGCAGTTTGGCTGGGGCAGGTTTGAACCCGCCACCCTTGGTGTATGGGGCCAGTGCCCTGCCCACTGAGCCACAGGTGCCGCCCTTTTCTTTTTCTTTTTCTTTCTTTCTTTCTTTTTTTTTTAAGACAGAGTCTCATTTTTATCACAGCTCACAGCAACCTCAAACTCTTGGGCTCAACTGATTCTCTTGCCTCAGCCTCCCAAGAAGCTAGGACTACAAGGCACGTGCCACAACTCCCGTTTATGTTTTGTTGCAGTTTGGTTGGGGCTGGGTTCGAACCTACTCCTGAGCCACAGGTGCCACCCAGTAATCGTTACTTGTAATGTCTTGTATAATTTAGATTCTCTCACAACTGCCTCTAAAATGTTATACTTAGCATAATGCCTGCCAGAGAGTAGGCACTGGATAACTAAACTGAAGAAAGATTTTGGCCTTAGAAATATTTAACTTGGAAAAATGATAACCTTTTAAGCATTGACTCTGGACCCTGTGTACTGTGTCACTTAACTATGTCTTAACTCCCCAGATGAACCATACATAGCCTGTGACTATTGAACCCTGGGCCAGAGCAAAGGGATCCTCCTGACAGAAAAGCTAATGTGGTCATAAACAGCACTGGTACAATTATAGTCTCCCCAGTAAAGGAATAGTGTTCGGTTTTAGGCACTATTAAAATGTTTTTCTTGGCAGGTTGTGGTGGCTCACACCTGTAATCCTAGCACTCTGGGAGGCCGAGGCATGTGGATAGCTTGAGCTCATGGGTTTGAGACAAGCCTGAGCAAAACCAAGACCCTGTCTCTACTAAAAATAGAAAAACTGAAGCAAGAGGATCGCTTGGGCCCAAGAGTCTGAGGTTGCTGTGAGCTATGATGCCATGGCACTCGACCTAGGGTTAAAGTTTGAGACTTTGTCTCAAAAGAAAAAAATTTTTTTTTTATTTTGATATAATGTAGATTCATATGCAGTTATAAGAAATAATACAGAGGGATTCCTATTATCCTTTAGTGGTATTTCCCCTATGAGGAAACATATGGTAACATTTTTGCACAACTATAGAAAAATATCACAGCCAGGAAATTGGCTTTGATACAAACCATCCGTAATTTCATCAGCTTGACTTTGACTTATTTGTGTGTATATTCATTCAATTTTGTTACATGTATAGATTTGTGTGATCACATCCAAGATCAGGATACAGTAATTCTATCACAAGAGTCTGTCATTCCGTATTTTATTATATTTTTTATTATTTTTTTTTGTAGAGACAGTGTCTTACTTT